AAAATGAGACAAGCCGAAGTGAAGTGCACGATTGCACCAAATTCCAGAATGGCCATGCCGAATCAAGGGCGGTCTTTGTTTTCCAGACTCTCAGTGACAAATTGGAATAGAAAGAACACAAAAGCTTGTTGCACTTGACAAGCACCGAACACCGGCCGGCACTGTTGGCCTCCGGGCCAAATGCCGATGGAAGGAAATCTTGACGAGTGACTAATTGTGCGGGTCCTGCAGCAATCGTTTAGACAGATAAACTGACTTCTCTTGAGCAAAAGCGTCGCCGATTCCTTCAAATATAAGCAATAAGCCTAGATCACCGGCACTATTCACACCAGGACACACCTGCTGACACTGAACTGATTGTCCATGATGATTACGGACAGTGTTGTGAACGGCGCCACCAAGCCGACTTCCAAGCCGCACCCAAGTCCCACAACTTTTGCGCATGCTGTTCTCCGTACCACCATGGACCATTACGAGGAAATGAGTCAATGGTACATTGATCTACTGGGGGCAGAAGTTGTCCATAAGACCGCCAATATTACTTTCCTGCGTTACGATGAAGAACATCACCGCATCGCCATTTTTGCCAGTCCCCAGCATGTTCCAAAGACGAAGGGTGTCCTGAACGCAGAAGTCGATCATTTGGCCTTTACCTATGCCACTCTCACAGAGTTGGCACAAGTCTATACGTCGCTCAAGTCGAAGGCGTGGGAGCCGGTCTGGACTATCAACCATGGGCCTACAACAAGCATCTATTACCGCGATCCCGATGGCAATAAAGTCGAACTTCAGGTCGATAACTTTGATACTAAGGAAGGCGCCGACGCATTTATGAAAGGGCCATTATTCAGCATGAATCCAATCGGCACAGAAATTGATGCTGATGTATGGGCTGCGGAGATATTGGCCAAGGTTCGTCCAAGCGGCGAAGAAGGATTGAACGACGAGGAGGTCAAGAGAATCAAGAAGAGGCGAGAAATTGGCGAGCGCTATAGCTTGCCCGACAATACTGTCTAAATATGGTCTCCCTTGGCTCTCTGCAGAATCGCATTCTCTCGGAGCACGTAAAAAGAGCTTTACCACGGGGATGAGTGAGAACGTTCTGGTGAAAGATATGCAGGATAGGTAGATGTGGCTGTTGATGCAGCAGTAGAACAAGTAATGCAACAGCTAGAGCAAGAGACTTGCTCCCCAGACCTAACATAGATGCTCATTGACTTTATTCTTTCATAACTTTACTGATCTTTAGCTTGAAAGCGACTGGGACTTGCTTCTCTCTTGGCTTTTGTCCCCGTTCGAATCGATAACCACATCACAGGCAACTACGTCGCTGTTGGAAGAGTTTTGCATCTGCTTTTGCCCATCCTTTGACGACGCCTCGCATAATTTTGCCACTCAGAAGCCTCGGAATCGTTTCCTTGAACTGCACTCCACCTCTCAACTGCTTGTGTTTGGCCACCTTTTGAGCCACGTAACTCATGATACCCTCTTCTGTCAATCCTTGACGGTGAGCGTCGGGATGCGCCACAACTTATCCTCGAGGATACTCATTCCCATCAACCGACAGTCCCACTATGGCCGCATCCACAATTAACTCGTGTTGAAGCAGGACGGCTTCAAGCTCGGCGGGTGCTACCTGCAAGCCATTGACCTTGATCAGCTCTTTCTTCCGATCCACAATCCACCATAGGTCGTCCTTGGTAGTGACTATATCACCAGTCTTCAGCCATCCGCCCGAGGCATAAGTTTCTGTCGTTGCCGTTTCATTATTCCAATAGCCCAACATCATCTGAGGGCCACGTACCCAGAGCTCGCCGGGGCCCGTTTCAATCTCCTGGTCCCTGTCATCAACAATCATGGCTTCTGTATTTGGAAGTAGGTAGCCTATACTGTTATGAGTGTAGACCCTGTTGATCGGTAGCTTCGTACCGACGCAAGTAGTTTCCGTCATTCCCCAGCCGCGGGAGATGCAAAACCCAAATCGCTTAACCAGGTCGGACTGTAGTTCTAGTGATATCGGTGCTGCGCCTACCATGACATTTTTTAGACTGCTCAGGTCGAACTTGATAGTGTCGGGACTTTTACCAATCAAGGCCATTACGGGTGGCACTGTCTGGATCGTAGTGATCTTGAACCTCTGAATGTATTCCAGGAATGAAGTAAGATTGAATCTCTCCATGATGTACACTGGGATTCCGAGTCGGCAAGCGATATTGATAGTGTATAGCTGAGAGAAAGCATGATAAAGAGGCAGGGCAGCAAGCCATCTTTCATTGTTTCCAATTTCGGTTTCTGGCGCCGCATCGAACATCCCACAAAGGACTTGAGATGCATTTGACACGAGGTTGTAGTGGCTGGTACATACCCCCTTGGGTAAGCCTGTCGTTCCACTGGAGAAATTGATGGTCGCTATCTGCGTCTCAGCTCTATCACCAAGCTCGTCCCAATCCCAGGAAGCAGCGTCCTGATGCGAAGCAAGGAAAGTTGTCCAATCCCGAACACCATCTTGCGCAGCACAGACATGTGCTGAGAAAAGAAAAATCCTCGTCATTGACACTCCAGCTTTGATGGCAGCAGCCATTGCAGTTTTCAAGAGACTCGGATGGACCAGAATCATCGCGGCCTTGACGATTGTCATCTGATAAGCAAGTTCGTCAGCGTTGTAGGCTGGGTTGGCACCAGAGTAATATCTTTTGGAACCTGCGGCCCCGAGATATATCACCGGAACAAAGAGGTGGTTTGGCGTAAACACCATAATGGCGGCATTCTTTCTAATCCCCAAGTTGTCCAGCCCCAGAGCAAATCTCTTCACCCAGAGCAACATATCAGCCGGCGATAACTTGTTGCTGGGGAACTTGGCATCAACCCAGAGAGGTGTTGAGGAAGGAGCCTTCTCCTTCGGGAATAAGTATGATAGAATGTTACATTTCGGGATGTCGATATCGTCGTAAGGCGATTTGTAAATCATTTCTCTGACGTCTCGACCCAGGAGTAGTAATTACGAGCCTTCTGGTGTGACTATCGTGAAACAGTAGAGCGGCCTTGGCGGTTAAAACTTTCACTCGAAGATTGATAACTGTGAGAATCATAGCCTTCATGACGAGGTTCTGATACCTGTAACGAGGAAGTTCATGATTTACCGAGGCCCCTCTGGATTGGCTCCACTTCACGCAGACTCTGGAGCAAATCCCATAGCAACCCACAATGGGTTGCATCCTGCTACAGCCGCTCGGTGTCTTTTAGGAGCCCGAAAACAAAAAGGAGAGGTTTCGGGCTCGGTGCGTACTCTTGGTCCCGTGTTGGACTATTCATTGTTCTGAATAACTCAGCCCCACTTGCTTGGAGCCATTGACATTACTCGAGAGCACCGAGGTCGTCAACGATACCTATTCCGAGCGGATCCCCCTACATCTATATCCGACTGAGGCAGGCCCAGACTTGTATCCGCCCGAGGGCATTGCCGCTACAGACCTACACTGAATGGCTACCCCTACCTGTCGAGTCCTGACTGACCTCACCAAAAGCACTCCGTCGGAAGTCCCAAACTTCGCCGATATCGAAAGTGCCGAGGGCCTCGCAAAGTTGTACTTTAGATCTGATCTAGCCAATGTAGCAGAGCATAGTGTTTACTAGCACAGCAGATTAACGCGAAATCAATACTTAGCTTTAAGAACTCAGTCAGATGAAAATCACACTCATCTAGTAACATGGAGTTTAAGAGCAAGATTATTGTCGTCACTGGTGCAGCTCGCGGTATAGGGCGAGCTGCAGCCATAGAATACGCTCGTCAAGGCCCGCGTGTTGTATTAGCAGACATCAATATGGCAGAACAACAAGCAACGGTATCTCAGCTTCGAGCCAGTGGCTACGACGCCCATGCATATAAGGTCGACATTGCTCTGGACGAAGAAGTTCATCGATTCGCAGCTTGGGTTATAAAAAATCTTGGTGCACCAGACCCAATACATAACAATGCAGTTATGCTCAGATCGGGGGGAATACTTGACATTGACATTGATGATGCTCAGGAACAGATGAACGTCAATGTCTTCGGCTATCTCCGGGTTGTAAGAGCGTTCTTACCAGCGATGCTTGAACGTGGTGACGGTCATATCGCAGTGACCGCATCTCCCAACGGCATCAACCCTCAACCATTGGTATCAGCAAATCTGGCGGCGTATTGTTTATGCAAAGCTGCGGACGTGTCCCTTGCACAATGTCTGGCTGTCAGCCTCAAGCCACGTGGGCTTTCTGTATCGCTACTGTTGCCCGATATCTCATACACAGAATCCATCAAAGAACTTTCTGGGAAAGCGACCGCTGAATTTCATCAGGGACTGGCTCAAGTCATGATCGCCCATGGCACTTCCCCAGAGACAAATGCTAAAATATTAATTGAAGGACTGAAAGAGGGGAAGTTTTTCGTGAATGCCCATCCCGGCTACGAAGATGCATTGAAAGACTGGGTATCCAATGATCTAAATCCTTTAGTCGACTGGGTTGAGATCTAAACCACTGATCTCACTCACCATCGCCAGCAAGTTGGACACCACAAGTAACGCAGTTCTATTTTAATTCTATTATCTTATGCAAAGAATGTTGATACTGAAAGACGGTTAAGATATAGGTTCATGGAGGACTCGCGTTCAAAACTTTAGTGCACATCTAATCCGCTTTGCTCAATTCATCCCACCCTCTGCTTATAAGCCTATGGCCTAGATTCCGCGTCTCTTCCCCCCTCACCTGTGATGATGTCGCATAACAAATGTGGTATTTCAGGTCGGAACTCGGCCTTATCTAAAAACCCCGACGACTATGGATTATGCGGGTTAGGATATCCCGAAGCTTGGTCAGCCCTCAAAAAGTCATAATTGTTCAACACATACTGATTTGCCGTCCTCTCTTCTTGAGAGGTCTCGCAGTCAGCCACGCTCGTTGACACGGCTGCAGTGTTGTTGAGTTTGAGTAGTCATCTAAACAGCCTATCGGTCTCCATCAGAATGGAATTTCTCCCCCCTCTTGGCCGAGATGTCATGGCAGCCGTGGCCCCCACCTTCAAGGTCTTTGGAGATCTTTTGCGACAACCTGAGCGCTTGGCCCTCCTCCAAGCTACGAGGAGGGAAGAGCATCGCTATGGCGATCATCCACGACAGATACTTGATCTGTACCGTCCATCAAAAGACCTGAGTCGGGTCACCCAAGGCGAAAATGCTAGAGAGAGTCAAATTCTCGTCTTTATCTATGGCGGTGGTTTTGCGAGGGGCGACAGGATTGAGCCTGCAATCGACGGCGAAGTGGTATATAAAGGGTTGGGACATTTCATGGCAGAGCAATTAGGCTACGACACCGTCATCATGGACTATCGCCTTTTACAGCACGGTGCGACTTTCAATAGTGGCGGGGAAGACCTTGATTTGGTGGTGACTTGGATCGAGAATACTCTATGCCAAAAGAATGATGCAGAGTCCAAAAGCCCTACGGGGCGTGATATGGTCATCATGGGCAACTCGGCCGGCGGTGTGCACTTGACTTCGTGGCTTTTCGACGATGCATTCGCGAGCACAAGACAGAGACTAATGAAAAGCTCATCGAATTTGCGCTTGAAATCGGCAGTCATTCTGAGTTCCACCATGCTGTTGGATCCCCATGTTCCAGCAATGCGGCCTAGCTTGCTAGGATATTATGGAAGTGAGGAGGATATCGTCGGGAAATCGCCCCTCAACTTGATGCGCAGGGCCACAACGTCGAACGCTGGTGAGAAGTTATGGCCGCATATCCTGCTCATCACGACAGAATTTGATCCGGAGTTTGTTAGTGAAACTAGCAAGACTTTTCTCATGGAGTGGATCAGTAAGGGTGGTAAAGGCGACTACTGGGAGCTTATAGGACATAATCATCTCAGCCCACCGCTCGCGTTGGGCACAGGGAACGAAAAGGCTGAGGCTTGGGGGTTCGAGCTTGGCCAACGATTAGCCCAAATAAAGTAATCAAAGATAAATGTAAGGCTGAGGCGAAGAAGAGAGCGACGTTGAATTACACTGCGCCTCGAGAGCAAAACATCAAGCTCAACAATTAATGACCTTGCTCACACAGTCATAAGAGACGATTACGTTGTAAGCACATGGCAGACAGTAAGTGACTCATGCTGAGGACAGTGTAGATATTCTGTTCGGTCCCCATCGCTTTGATTGACAAGAATCTGCGAAAATCTGCAGTCTTCACTCAGAACCATAAGTACTAGCACTTCTGTTAAGCTATTCATGTTCACTAAGACGCTGTTTCAAGGTACACCAACGGCTACAAATGGCTTCCTGGTCATTTGTCATCCTTAAACTTTTTGATATTTGAGGATGTAAGCACTGTACAGAAGTTCAGTCCTTCCTTCGTCAGCCCTTGCCATGATGGCACTTCAACTCAAGTCGTAGAATCTAGTCAAGTCCGCAGTGAGCGCATCTTGCATCTAGAAAACAGTTAGCCTGGATCTCATCTGAGATAAAGTCGGTTTGAGGCTACATGAAAGAGGTTAGCGGCCTCAGCTGGCTCTTTCGAGGCGAAGCTAATGTATTGCAGAATCGGATCTTTCTCTAGAGCCGTCGACCCATCTTGAATCACACGTTTCAAGTTACTTGACGACATTGGGTCGATGAGATTGTGGTATATTTCGCGCCTCTTCTCGTCATAAATGTCGAGAATCTTGAGGCCAGCCCTACCTCCATGAATGCCTTGTAGGCAGTCTACAAGGCTTCCAACGTCAGCGATCCCTCCAGTCAGGCCGAGGCCGCCCCTATTAATATTCAGATTAGGAATCTTTTATGTATGAGGGTCAAGAACAGGCGAACTTACATTGGGTTGCATAGATGAGCCGCGTCGCCAGCAAGCAGTACTCTGCCCACTCGCATCCTTTCTACGCATCTTTGATGCATTACGAAAGGACTCCATCTCGACAATTCGTATTCCCCTGGTTTTGGGTTGCCGGGAAGGATGGTCTCAAATTTCGCAGCCAGCCTTCGCCGCAGTTCGGCTTCATTCATTCCAGCCGGCTCACCATAAGCAACTCGCCACAGGCCCTTTTTATCTAGTCTGCAGGCCAAGGCCCAATGGTCAGGATGAATAATCCACTGCACGTCTGACCATCCATGCTTTTCGAAGCCATCGTACCGGATCTAGCTTGTTTGTTAGTACTGCGCAGAGTTTATGGGCATAGATGAACAAACATTCGTTGCTACGAGCTGAATATCCCACGTATGGCCAGGAAAGGAATCATTGAAGAGTGCTTTTCTGACCGAACTTCGAGCACCATCACAACCAACGGCAAAGTCGGCATGGAACGATTTCATATCACCATTGGATTCGGCTTGAATAGTCACCTTCGACTCATCTTGATTCAAGCTGATGAATTTATGGCCCCAGTGAATGTTCACATTGTTTAGGACCTTCGCCTCGTCATTCAGTATCCCAGCTAGAAGGTGGACAGGTAGGATGACGGTTCGATCAGTGGCGCTAGGGTCGTTCGGTCCTTCTATGCCAGTGATCTGTCCAACACATTTAATTAGTGTTGAACTTGATAGAATAGGTTGAAAATATGGCTTCAGCTTCACTGGAATGCTAAAAACATAACATGTCCGGACGATCACCAAGATGGGTGATAGAGCAACTCACATAGCTCCCTCCAAGCTGTCTCCAGCACATTCCATTGGCTTGCATCCCAGCCGCGAGAACTTTGTCGATAACACCGGCACGTCTGAGGACGCTGGAGTTCAAGTCTCAGAACAATACATTCACTTTTAACCAGCAGCAAATAGTAAACAAACCTGACTGCTGGAGGTCCATAAGCAGCTCCTCTCGGGCGCGCATCGATCTCCAATGCGGCCTCCAGGACATCGACCTCGACTCCGCACCTCCCGAGCATCAAAGCAGTTAACAAGCCCACAGGACCCGCGCCAACGATTACAACTCTCGTCAATGCTTTTCTCGCCATTGTTGTTACTGTGTCAGAGCGCGATCTGTAGATTCAAGAAGGAATTGTTAGCAAGTAAAAGCTCAAAACATTAGCTGCATATGTAGGCAACTGAATCAGTCCCTGACGCTGCCTAGCTATTGCTCCGCAGGCCGGGATAACGGGTTTGCTAGAGTGTGTGATGGCGCCGCGTAAAAGTCCAACGCTCTGCCCCATCTCGTGATTGCCCGAGCCTACCTACGTTCAACTTCATCTGTATCTGATCTAGCCTCGATTGCGTTAACATTTTTCATCACACGAAACGTACGAGTGCTAAAAATCGAGCAATGCGGTCCGGCGATTTCGGGGTTTTCGGCACACCGAAACCCTAATTAGCTAGCCGGATTTCTTAGGGTTGCTCGTACTCGGAAAGTGAAACCCTGGGTGGGATGCGGAGGATGGAGATCGATCACGAGCTGATGCCAAGAGCGGGATATCTGTGGGAGCCCCGAGCTCTCCGCAGACCACACTTCTCATGATCTCTCTTGGACCATCAGGTCCCGTTATTGAGCGCAGAGAACACAGACAACTACGTAGCGAGGTTGACATCGACTTTTTCCCCCGTATAACGATATGGACCTTTCAGCTGCTCCGAGTATAAGTCCCCCGGTCTACAAAGCCAAATATTCCCGAGCTTGCACATTCTGCAGGAAAAAGAAAGTAAGGTGTAAGCATTACTTCGCCACTGGAATTCTTACATATCTGAAGCTGCACAGGTGAAGGAGGTTATCCGTGCAAACAATGCGCCGATCATGATGAAATATGTGCATTTACCGGGCGCCGACGGTTTGTGCGGAAACCACGGGCCGCCTATGAAACAGTCTCTGCACGTCTCGGTCGACTAGAGGGGTTGATCAATTTGACATCTGCACCACGCGAGGACTCTCACGCTGGTCAGGCTCCTAGCAGGGACAGAGATGAAGCTCTACTTTTCCAGGATGATTCTCCTTCAACACAGGCCCAGGTTTCCTCAGAGAACGACGTGTCTGTGCTCGCGAACCCGGGAAGCGAGAAGGCATCCGCGCCCTTTTCACAACTGCCACAGTCTCATATTTCTTTGCAACGATACGAGCGCCAGATGAATGCTTTCGCATCACCAAATTTCCAGAACGACCACTGGTATGTTGGACGAGATGTGAATGACACCCATTCCTCCGGCTTCGAGCCCTCTCTATCTGATGCTATGCCGGCAACAATGACGACCGTGAATGCAAAGGTCCCTAGCACCATCGAAACTCAGACAGACTTAGCCGCCCCATTTCCAGAGGAACCGGGCTCACAAGAAACTTCCAGCCTTATTGCAGACGAGATGGTGAGTTCTTACTAAATGATTATGAGGTACTTTCACTAACACCAACTCGAGTCCAACTGGGAATATAATGGTACGTCATCATGACCGCTTCAAGTTGACTATTCGATCAAGGCATTAACAGCTTGCTCAAGGGCCAAGATGTATCATGTCTATCTGCTCGCAGCCTGCCATCAGTTGGGTGGAGAGCAAGGTCAAAATGCAAGGGGTCAGGGCGTCTATTCTTCGATTCACAGAAGACATCACACGAAGGATGAAAGTAGGACCGGAAAGCTTCCTGCAGTCAAGAACCCGGGCGCCTGAGCCAACGAAAGACATCGCTTGGCTGTATACCGATGGTGAGTGCTGACATAAAGACTCTCATAAGCATAGATGCGCTAACTTGACCCTTTGACAGTATTTTTTGACAAGTGCTTTGAAGCTGACATCGGTATTGTCGACAGCAACTGGTTCAGAAGCAGATTGACCGAACATCTCTTGAACAACACGCGAGACTTGGAGGATCCTTCATGGTATGCACTCCGCTATACAGTGTTTGCATTTGGATGTCGAGTCTCCCTTGGCAAATCACAGTCTTTCTCGAGGGCGGTAGAGGCCTCCGTAGCCTTATTCGAGAATGCTTTGTCTGTTCAGCCAGACATATTACAATGTCGCTCTTCGATAATCAGTGTAAGGGCCTTATTATTGATGGTAACTTACTCTGGAGGCCCAGGTCAGATTACGAGATATCTAACCCATGGTCAGGCGTGCTTTAGTGAAGGGATTGGCGCCCCTCACCTTGAATACATGTTGGCATCGAATGCGGTGAGATTAGCGATATCAAAAGGTCTTCATCGCCAGCCTTCATCTACTTGGAATTGGCCACAGCAAGAGATACGCAAACGGAGCAAGCTGTTCTGGACTCTCTATGCACTTGACAGACAGATCGCCTCTCGATCTGGACGTCCACCAGTAAAGTTCCAGTATTTTAAAAGTGTGGATGGCTCGCTCATGCTGACTATGATTACAGGCCATTGACGACGACGAAATCAGCTGCGATGTGCCCAACACGTTATTACTTAACGACGTTGGAAGTGACACACTTTTCACGATATGCATCAAGCTCAGTCAAATTCAATCTCGTGCATATAAACATCTTTCCAGTGCTCGAGCCCTTCGCCAATCTACCGAAGACCTAATCAAAGCAGTGGCTGAGCTGCATGAAGAGGTTGTCTTGTTTAAGCAATCCATCAACCATATCATCTCACTTGACGAACAATTAGATGAGATGTCGATGCCACGGACCATGACCATGTTCTCACTAATCATGATTTACTTTCTATACTATAGTGTTTTGTTTGACATTCACAGCCCGTTGGTGCTTCCCTGGTTCGACTTTGCCAGATCAAAACGGCCCGATGCTTTCCATTCTCAGGTCCAGGATTCGTGTGCCATTGTCTCCAGAACAGCGCGGGCGGCTATACTGGCCTGCAGATTTGTTCAGCTTGGCGCAAACACTCCAGTCCTGTAAGCTTCTCGCTCGCCCCCATGAACTTGCAGGACCGCGTTACTGAACGACTTGGAACAGATTCGCCATGTATATACCCCATCGAGCGCTTATACTGCTCTTCACGCATATTTTGAATAACCCAGCTGCTGAAACAGCTCAGTCAGATCTTGTTTTGATGGAAATTGCCTCTGGCTTCAACTCCCGACTTGAATTTGCTACAGAAGGCTCTTTTTCGTTTCCATTCGCTAAAGAATGGGTAATGTTCGCGTCTGCAGCCGTGAGTCGAGCAAGATCGGCAAGGGTTGTACATCCCCAAGCCATCGAGCCGAAGACTTCAGGAGTCCTAGGAACAGACATCGATACTGACACAAATAATTCTGCCTTGAATGAAGAGGAGTGTCTCCAAGAAGTAAGTCTACTCTTTATCTACCCCATTTTCCTCGTTTAGCTGTTTTGGGTTAAGAATTTCAGCTGTCCAGCTCCATTACCTTTGCTAACGACGTCTTTGCAGTTGTTCGACCCGGAATTTGAGGTCGATATGGAATTATGGAGTACTCTGGTGCCCGTGACCACCTCAGAGCCCTTTAATCTGAGCCCCTTCACCAGCTTGACTCAATAAGTGCAGAAGGAGCTTGCCTTCATGGCACTCCCCCTCGGATACTGTTGGATCTGGTGTGGAGTGATAATTAGTTCTTATGCATCGAGGCACCGCGAAAGAAGTCCCAGTGGCTTGGAGGACGCCATGCGGTAGTTGTAACGAGTGTCTCAAGATAAGATTGATGCAGCGAATATTCCTTGTTATGGCCTCAAACCCTCCATTCCACGTACCAGTTCTCATATAAGTCACACATATAGTATTAAAGGCTCACAGTGGCTGGTATTCGATTGGAGGGTAGCAATATTGCCAAAGGAATCAGGAATTCAGGCCAAAAGACGACTACCAAAACTGAGGAAAAGGTTACGCCACCACTTTGATACACACTTGTCGTGTTCGTCGTCGGTATATTCAGGGCCTCCTCTCAGACCAAACCTCAAACTTTACGAACAGTCACGTGTTAGCAGTCAGAAACTACAATCAAGTTCTGAGGCACTAATATTCGCAAGGGGCACCCCATGACCCCACGATCAATGGGTAAGATATTCGAATTCTGTCCAATAGCAAAGCAAGCTTCGTTTGGATCCTATCTTGGCTGTACTAATAGCGGTCGGTTTGACTGGATGCTAAACGACAGGAGATTACGTAGTTAGCTGTGTTTTACAGGTACCTTGTTCCGTCTTGCCGCGTTCATCTTTAGTCAGTGGAGAAAGGCACTCTCCGCTACCTATATGACTTGCTCAACCAGGAAATTTTGATTGCTATGAGGCATTTATTCTGTTAGTCGCTCAACGCAACTTGTACCTCGGCTCCCTCTTGAAGTCATGTTAACAATAACTATAGTAATGGCAGTTGGCAAGACACTGTATCTCAAATATAGTAGCTCTGGCAAAGACAATGGCTGCAAACCGACGGAGTAGTAGTCCATTGAAGTTTGACAAGAACAGCAGTGTATTTGGACACAATTCTACAAGCAAGGATACAGCTTTTGTGGGAGAAGAAGGAGCTCTAACTCGCATGAATACCACAGCATATTACCATCGTACAATCGAGCAGCGAGAAGCGAAGACATTCCAGCACACCACCCATGACAGTGATCTGTATCCTCGACAATCGTATCGAAAGAGCTATGAGAACTTGCACGTGTTTCTGATTTCTCTTCTTGTCTTTGTGGAAGCGAACTCTACCGCACTCGAAAGGGCAAACAGTCATACGAGTGATGACGCCGAGGTTGCTGTCGGTATCAGTGGTGACAATTATGCCGATGATGAAGGACAAGATCAGCCAACCCGGCTCCGACTGCGCCTTCTTCTATTCATGGCTGTTAGCCAATCTTTTCTCATGCCGCTACTGTTTTTTCTCTACGGCCGATTCGACCAGCAAGGAGCTTCGCAACTGGGGACCCTTCACCGTCAGCAGCAAGTACGTTCCCGATTACGACTTTTGTGTCGAAGACTTCTTCCTGCCATAATCTGCCAGCTCTTACTTCAGTGGCTGCAAGTTGCTGGCAGAGGATCATCGAGTCACGGTGCACCAGTTTACCAACCGCCGATAGCTTGCAGTCCGATAGTCTTGTTCCCACTGCTTCTCTCAGCGTTTGAACTCACAGTCTCAACTGTTGTTGAAATGCTCGGTCCGGCAAGAGCGGCTGTTTTCCTTGAACAGTTGCAGAGCGAGCAAGGACGAGTCGTCCATGTGTACTGGATGGTACTGGTCCAGATGGACATTGCCGTTGGCGCATTATTCCCGGTAAACATTCTCTCGGTGTCACCATTTCGATTGACAGACATTCCACAATACTTTCTCGCCTATATCTGGGGTCAACTCTCCCATGTGACCGGGAAAGTTCACATTCTAGCTGTCGTTCCGCCCATTACTATGCCAGCTGCCTGTCTAGCACTTTTAGTCTTCTTCAGCAACGTCGCCCTCCTAGATCTTCTTGTGATGGCCATTCCTGGACTTTCAAAGCACGCTGTGTTGACTTCAAGTATTTGCACCGCATTTACTAGATTGGGAGGCGGATTCAGTCAATATGCCATCATGTACAGGTTTTGGAAGCAACTCAGCTTCGCTAGTATTGGCCCTGCGTTTTTAGAAACTTTTGGTCAGACTGCCAGTCAAGATTGCTGGGTCACTATTCCTGGCATTGGAAGAAGACAGCTGAAGCGATACGCATTCATCACCTTGCTGGTATACCTTCCGGTTATCAGAGTTCTTCAGATTGGTGTCGACACGATGTACGGAAAAGTTGCAGAGACAACTGGAGTATTTCAAATCCCTGGATTTCGAGAAGGCCTGATTGTCTCTGGTGTCTTGTATGCATGCCGAGGTATTTTTGCTACTCTCACCACGTGGACAGTAAGTTTCTTGGTTGTGGAGTACATACCATTCGCAAGGAGGGTTCTCTTGTGAGAGTTTTGTAAATATTGTTTCCCCATTTGTTGTGTTCAAACAGTGCTCCGAAGAGGTGATTCCTGCGCCAATACCAAATAATAGCATCACGGCATTGTCAACAGCCAGTTAAAAAGGTTGGCGATGATATTACCATGGCCTAAATAGTATATTCATTTAATCTGAATCCGTGTCCGTACTTGCATCTGCTAATATACTGACTTCTGGCCAGCTCATCCGCTATATGCTTCCCAGCTCATACCGATAATACCAAAAGCTGTAAAGAGTTTTCCCTTCAGGGTCTAGTGAGGATAAAAACCTGGTAACTTCGTGATTTGAGTTTATATATCAACCTTGCGTGGTTCATCCCGGCCTCAATTGACATTAATTCGTTTACACGATGCTTGTTACATGCACGCGAGCACTCTGTATTCTCTTGTGTGACACAAAAGTGCCACAGATCATCAAATTACAGAAAGAATTGCCTGCTAAATCGTCCTCAGAATAAAACAGGTTCTACGAATATGGGGGGTAAAGATCTGATCCATCGACAAGGAAGGTATTCAAGGCTAGTGCCATCAGATCGGCCTCAGCTAGGTGTAGCGAGAATATGGGGACAGACACGTCGTGGTAATGATTCAGGTTATTCCCTGCCCAGAAATCATGTTGCCAGCTGACTTGTTTTGGGACTATTGGAGAGTTAATAATGCTGAGTCAACGTGGACGGCGGGTTTTGGGAGGCGTCGGTAATATTCCTGAATCTCGTATTACGTCCTAGTTGTGGGACGCCTACATCATAGTCATCAAGATTTTGCAGCAGGTCCGCCAGCATCGTCACAAGCAACTGCCGCTGGATCAGCCCCAACCAAGCGTCCAAAGAGTGGCTGACGGTAGGTCCGGTCGTAGCAAGGGTTATTCTCTTTGTATGATCTTCGAAAGCGATACCGCGCTTGCTACAGATTGCAGGGAGTGCGGGACGACGTCAATACGCCATCCTACATTAGATGCAAGCTTGAGGGAACAAATTACGGTCGCATCGAATGTGAGGAATGACAGCAAGTAGAGCTTGTAGTATTGCACATCAGATGTGTGAAATACAGGCGCCTGTGAGTCCCAAATTGCGAGACAGACCCCCAAGCACGTTCTCGATTCTTCACAGTCTGGAGGATGTATGGCCGCTGGAGGCTGCACAGTTCGCGTTGTGCAGAAAGATACGGGCACTCGGCATTCCATGATCGAACGGGGTTGTCTAATTGGTGCGTAGCGGGCAGTTTCCTCTGGAAATGTGTGCCAAATTGACGTAGATCTTCCAGTTTGTCTTGGTCCTAGGCCCTGAGATATCGGCCTGCGGCATGTAGTGAGAGAATTTTAGGTATTCGAATGACAAGGCGGTGCTCTAGGAGTCTGGCAGTCAGAGCTGTTGTGATGCAACACTGTAGGGTCGGCAGGCGGTCAAATCGCCTTCTCAGTCAACCAGGGAGCGAGACTCTTCAATCGCGGAGGTTTACGCTCATCGGCCTGTCGAGGACTGTAAACATGTGTCTGGATCTGCGTCGTTAGCCACCGACAGGATGGAACTAACACATTGGCAACGAACTTCTCTCCAATTGAAACATTCGCCTAGACACGCTGGCGTAGTGGTGTATTTCAGAGATTCTCGATGGTGTCACGGACAGTTTAGTCTGAGACGCCTGACTCGGGCTCTCGGTATATTTCATGTGCAGCTCTACTCTAATCAAAAGAGATGAGAGAGGTACGAGAGAAGAGACTAGTAAGCGCACTCACCTTATTGCCTGACCCAGGCTGTGCCACGCCGCTGTAACACTTCCGGTTTTTTTCAGCCACGGTGCCAGTAGGAGCTCCTACTGCACACTGATCAAAGTAGCTTCCTCTCTCGACCGATTGCGGAGATAACCTCGAGATTACATTCGCTACGCACAGATAGGCCGGAATGGATGGGTAGACATGTACGAGTGGTATCTCGAACCACTGTTGTAGCTGTTCTGATGCAGCATTCCTTTGTCGATCGTGAGATTTGTGGAGGTAAGGTTCCCGGTCCCGATCGGTCGTGATGACGGCTGTCTGAGAATGGACCTTCGCCCCCCGTATTGTTCAAGCGTCAGCACTCGGCGGTATCAGTGAATCTCTCTCATGTTGAGTGTCTCATCCTCATCACTGCACGCGTTTTTTGAGGAAAATGCATTTTACACGTCAATCCTGGCTCATGCGGCAGGGTGCTGAAATTCCGCTTGCCCATCCAAGTGGGAAATCCAGCAAGCGACTCCGTTTACGCATCGACCTAAGCAGTCGGGTAATTTCCTCTCCCAGCGAAGTCTCGTGACCACCTACCAATTGATATTGATCTTGCCGAGGCTATGGCTTAATTATGCCGCCTTCGAAGGTGGCTTTTAGGTTACAGGACTGTACCCGCAAGAAGGAACTGGGAAACTTAAACTCTAAGAAGATACTTGTCATCTACTATCTTTAGTGACTTTTCACGAGGTCAATAGTACCTCAAACGGTTTGAGTAGAGTACGATCATCTTCATACGCAGCCTGAACCGCACTTGTCTTCCACCTGAACTCTCAATGCAGCCACCAAAGTAGTGGGGGACTCTGCTTCCCACTAACGTGGGTTGTATCCGAACCGTAGTCGGTCATCATTTGCTACGTAGCTTTGCTCCAGCAAAGTGTTGTCAACTTAAATCTCCTTCGATCTGCATTTGCGGCATACCATGAGGGATTTTCTACATAATGAGCTCACACTATCTAAAGGGCCTTCTCCATAAGTACTTCACGCTACTTAACCACGCTAACCCCACAAATAACTGAAAGGCGCCTACTTAAGTTTGTCCCCACCACGCAAAAGAATGGAGTGGTTATTCAGTCTATAAAATGCGCCTGCAGACCTATAAGTTCTATGAGTGAATATATATTTTCATTCTAGTTTTTCACGATCGGTTGCATCCCACTCTAAGTGCATTAGATGCATACTAGTGTGCCAGGCGAAACACGTGCTTCACGGAGTGGTAACTATACACGAAGTGCCACATTGAGTCGGAACATTATCCACTGAGCAGCACCTAAGGGAAGAGCGTACTATGGCAAATGAGAATTGACTCAGTGTTGAAAATGTTCTGCTCATCGTTAAACTGTCTAGATGAGACCCCTTTTACGATTTTGCAAGTCTCCGCCGCTCTATTATATGTTTATGTGGCTTAGATTTACCCGGCTTGCTTCGCGCCAGTGGATGCTTGACTCTTTGGGTGTCATGCTTTAGCGAGTCGAAAAGAATTTTCGCAGTAAGCTTACCGACGTTGCTGGAGAGATTATGGTAACGTATTTCGACATCAGGACTGTTTGCCATGGAGACATCTAGCAACAACTCAATCACTTGGTACGGAGTTGACAGGTCCATCCTAGGGCCGAAGTTAAGTATCTAGGCACAATTCTGCTGACCGTAATAGCTCCTGTTGGCATGTATCACTACTCAACTGAACTACAACAATCCTTTGCAGATGTATGTCGCCGTGGTTCACAATACTGAACGCTAAATTTAGGTGGAGATAGCAAAACAACTACCTGAATTGCTGCACAACGCTCCAAAAAGATCCCAGTCATTCCAAAATCAGTGCTTGCGTTATTTATTTCTTGTCACGGAAGAGGATATATCTTTCGACTGGCCCTCTTGCTCAGGAAACACTTCCAAAAATTGCAAATCACATTCGTATTAAGAATAAGACAGCTATGTCTAACTAGAGTTTGCTCTTACAGTCTAAGGTCTATCACGACCACGAAGAGAAGAGTCTACTTCAACAAAGCTTTTCGTCTATCAGGAAATTGTCCTCAGCCATTGTCAGACCAGTTATGGCCTTCTCGAAACGCTCCCGAGTCTCTCAGCCACCCAGTAGAGAAACCCCCGAAGCAGAACGTTGCAAAACTACGAGAGACGAAACTATATCGATGCAGCCTACGCTCAAGCCTTTTGTCACGCTGACGAAATCCATCAGGTCTCCGAAGATCCAACTTGTACCTCATGCTCCCTGCGCCAGCTTCAGTATCCCTCTTTCTACTCTTGAGCAAGATCTACTGAATAACACCCATTTCGATAAATTGGACATGTCGTCACAGGATTTTGATTTTGAGGATATATTCACTTACAGCAAACCTCAACGTAAACTTTCAAGAGTCGTTGAAGTCTCGCTACGAGGTAGAAACCCTTGAGCCTAATCATAAACCCCCTTCCAAGCGCTTAACTATCCTGCTTTTTGAGAAGTTAAGGGTTATGACACATGGTGTATTCGCAGACAAGCAAAGTGGAAGCAATGTGTTGGGGGACGAAAGTGACACCAACGAGATATGGTGTGAATATGCGCCCTATTCTAGATCAAGTTATCTATCACCATGAGATCTAGGAGAGCGCCAGGCTAGACGATATGATTGTACTGGAAAACAATTCTACTGCCTCATATGGCATGTTGGCTGTTTTGGTTTCTCGTCTCCTTCATAAGTATTGGCTCATACAACATGTAGCGATGCCTGACTACCTTTAACAGACGCCTTAAAGTTCGTAACCCGGTATCGTACAGAATTGGATATTACCTTGCCCGGCTATACACCCTGCTAGTAACTAGCGGCTACTCTGAGCACGTTCGTTAGACTCATTCTGCCATGGACAACAGGTGTTCTGACACTTTTGCTGTTAGGCTTATTGCTACCGCCGCTTCAGAAGTAAGCAAAACGAATAGCCACCGGGGATTAAGGCAGGCACAAAATAGACGCAATAGTTGAGATGCTTGGGGTTAAGCTAGGTTCATTCAATCTTGAATGTCTAAACTCGAAAATTTTCTCAATTGACTCGGCGCTCACTCAAAGTCGACAAATAAAAAGGGTTCTGGGGGTCGTATGTTGGTCCTAGTCGGTGTGACAAGCTCTGCGAGACTCACCCTGCTGGAGTCCAGTAAGCATTGTGGAATGAATTCTGAATGTATGTTCATCGTAGATTACGCACCACATTGGACAGGTTTTGGCCTTGGACAATAGCCATGGATCAATACACGAAGGATGGAAGAAATGCCCGCACAATAGCAGACGTACTGTATCACTGCTGCAATACGTATCTGTACATATCGGACAAACATCTCGATCATAGTTTCCAGTGCGTGGACCTTGAAGGAGAGACGGACACCTCACTTTGATCTTGCCAGACTCTATTGCGTCCATGCCAAAGATGGGTGACAGACCCGAAGCCTTTGTAGAAATAAAACTTCGAATTGGTCGTTGTTTCCGGCCATACTGAACCAGTGAAAAGGTTTCGGGTGTCGTCGCCCCAATACCGGCATCCTGTTCAAAAACAACGCTGCCTGGGGTTGATGAGCGTAGGCTGCCAGCACGACGAAGCTCGGTTGTGACTCGATGTGCCCACCAGCTCAGACCAGCAAGTGCTGCGAATAGGGCTATAGCTAGACATATTGATGTGATTACAGTGCCTTTCAGGGACTTCTGATCGGGATAAACTTCAGATAAACTCGACATACTCTGCTAGTTTGTCTGCCGTAGGAAATTTCTTAAATTTGAAGTAGAGGTATCTGTGATGGCCTTATTATGGCAGACTTCGAGCGGCTCGAACTAGAAAGGACGTGACCAAACTGTTCCAACGAATTAAGGGGCAAATTTTAGCAGTATACTACCAAACAGGGGAATTTCAGGCCTATCTCTCTGACTAAAGGAGAGCCTGGTGTAAGTGACCTATCGAAAGAGACCGAATGTAGTATATCCGTGACAACCGGAGGAGGGGATTTTAGGCTCGCCTCTACTCCTGTGAGACCCGATTCTGAATTCGGTTCTTGTTGATTACTTCATTGACATCGACACGCTAGTGTCATACGATCCTTCTTGCATAGAGAGCAATCGCCGGGGGATTGGCTGGGACATGTCATCTTAGTGATAACCCTCTGACGCCAAACCGCAGTTTACCGAAGGCTCGTAGAGCTAAACCAACTCGGGATAAAATTGGGAGATTACGAAAGGGTCCACCAGCGACTCTTGCCTCAATTCCCTGTCGACGCGATCGATATGTTGAGTGCAGCTTGATCTGTCGACTCACTTCTCCAGTAACCCCTTGGTCCCTGGGACGTGGGGTTTGCGATTTTAATGAAATGTCCTTAAAGACCGAGACCTCAACCGTAGCGTCTTGAAGAATTTCCTTCTGCTCTGTGGAAAGATTCTGGATTCGCAAAATTAAACCAACGTGATGGCTACCACAGTCAAGCTAGCAGAGTATTTGTTCACACGTCTCCATCAGCTAGGTATTCGTGCGATTCACGGTGTCCCGGGCGACTATAATCTCACGCTGTTGGATTACATCGAACCAGCTGGAATCCATTGGGTCGGCAACTGTAACGAATTGAATGCCGGCTATGCTGCCGATGGCTATGCGCGCATCAAAGGTATCGGAGCGCTCATAACGACATTTGGGGTCGGAGAGCTTTCAACTATCAATGCGATTGCGGGTGCCTATTGTGAACGCGCACCGGTGGTCCACATCGTCGGCACGCCAGACAGAGACGCCCAGGACTCTCGGGCGACGGTCCACCATACCTTCAATGACGGCAATTTTGGACGCTTTGCGCAGATGCATGCACATATCACGGTGGCACAAGCCAACCTGCGAAATCTTCACTCGGCGCCCTCGCAAATCGATGCGGTTCTCAAAGAATGTATCGTGCACAGCCGACCCGTTTACATCCAAGTGCCGGTAGACTTGGTGGATGCGCCCGTCCCTTCTGGCAGCCTATGGACGGACTGTTTGTCGCTGAAATCGATGTCGCGAGGGCCAGAGGTTCCTTCGTCCATGCTAGACTCGGCTCTGTCAATGGTTCTGGAGAAAATCCAGTCCGCCAAACAGCCGGTCATTCTCGTTGATGGCGAGACCAGAGCACTTGGCATCACCGAAGATGTTCAGAGTATTGTTGAATTTACAAATTGGCCCACGTGGGTCACCACATTTGGAAAAGGCCTTGTGGACGAGACGGCCCCCAACGTCTATGGCGTGTATTGAGGGAGCTACGACCCCAGGGCGAAAGCTTTCGTGGACAGTTCGGACTTGGTTCTGTGCTTCGGTCCTCACTATAGCTCCACCAACACCTTTGACTATACTAGTATCCCTCCTAAGACGGTCACAATCAGCTTTACCGACACTGAAGTACGAAGTGGTGAGCGGGTCTTTCGAGACGTGCCAGCCAGAATTGCGGTGTCTCAATTGAGACAACAGTTGAGTGCCTTGAAGTTCAAAACTGGCGGCACATATGACATTGACATGGCTTGTGGAAATGACACGACACTCTCTGCGTTTTCTTCCGTCCATAGCAAAGATGCCATCAAACAAGACCGACTGTGGAGATTTCTGGCGAACCTCATTCGCCCAGGAGACATTGTCATGGGTGAAACTGGGACCGCAGGCTATGGTGTTCAAGAGTTTCGACTGCCACGTTACTCGCGTGTCTTCGCCCCCACCACGTGGTTGTCGATAGGATACATGCTCCCAGCAGCGCAAGGTGCTGCTCTGGCTCAGAGGGACTTGATAGGTTCTTCTGACTACCATGGCCTCGACCAAGCGCGCACTATGGTCTTCATCGGCGATGGGAGCCTCCAGATGACAATTCAAGAACTAGGCACCATCATACGCGAAAGATTGGACGTCACAGTCTTCCTGATCAACAATGACGGGTACACAATTGAACGATGCATCCACGGCTTGAACAAAACGTACAATGACATCGGCCGTTGGCGGTATCCGCAAGCGCCTCACTTTTTCGGCGCTGACCAAGACGTCTTTACAGCCACCGCTCTGACCTGGGAAGACTTGCAGAACGTGCTTGAAGCAATGGAGGACAGGACTGACGGGGGGTTGAGGATAATAGAAATTCTGCTAGATCGACAGGATGTGCCAGTGGGTCCATTGCTTGATTTGCTCGTCGAAGAGAGAAAGGCAGTCGAAAGAGAATCGTAGTCCGAGGTCGTAAGTACGATGAAACAAGTCAGGTTCACGTGCGGCTACCTCACTATGTGTACATCTTGAGCGACACGAGGATTTCCGACAATGAGCGGGAATCATCGATCAAAGCTCGTCGGTCGGCAACGATATTAAAAGAATCCTTTCCGTGGAAAAAAATCTCCAAACATCTCGAACTATACTGGGATTAGCGGTGTCCCTCTGCTCTCCCAATCCGTCGCCAGGTTGATCCAGTCCAGGTGTGGGCTTTCCCAAAGGCACTGGTGGAAGCGTACAATACTGCCGTAGTGTCCAAACTGTGTGTTCTCTGCCACGATCTGTGTGAGTTTTCGGGTGCTTTTCATTCTGTCGATGTTAGGCCAACAGCAGATTCCGGCAATGAAGAGTGGCCATGCTAAATTATGGCAAGTTGCGCGGTAATCTTCAAAGCTATCGAGGGTTTGAAAGAGCCTGGAGGAGTGATATTCTATCCCTACAGGGTCACGAACCCTTGTCAGACGTAGATGAGCGTATAAAACTCCGGCATGATGGTACACCTGGACCATGCGTACAAAGTCATCCTCGATGAGCTTGCTAGAAAAGACCTTAGATGATGACGATGACAAGGATTCTGCTGCCCGCAGTGTTGAGGCACGTGCCAGCTCGAGTTGGTTTTCAACCTCACTGATGGTGGTCAAGGACTCTAAGCTACCAATAGCTGCCTCTTGTGACAAATGACGACTTGTGATCCCCTGCAGCGTCAGTAAGAAGAGCCCAAACATGACGTTGTCGTTGTGGATCTCGGGTAGGATGACGCCTTCGATCTTGGCCGGATCAAACGTAGCCGTGCAGGCGAGCACATCGAACGCTGCAGCTTGGTTTTTGAGGAAGGAGAACAGTTTTGCGTTAGAGGCCGTGCTTAATGCGGCTGTCCTGATCAAAACTCGAACGGCGTTGAGATGGATCCATGCGACCGAAAGTTCCGAATTCAATAGGGCATAGTTAGACAAAATGAGAGCTGCGGCGATGAAAGCTTCGTGCTGTTCACAGTCACGGACCATAGCATCCCTAGCCATCGACCTGAGCCGTTCAGTGATCTGCAACACGGCTGTTTCGGAAACGTCTCCAGGCGGCCCGATCTTGGTCGGCAGTGTACCAGGCCGGTGCGTGGAAACTACAGCCAAGATTGAAAGCATCAGCGTTTCCTGAACTTTGGCCAAGGGAACGATGATTTTCCTGTATTCATTCTGTTCAGAGTCGATCCACACCATCATCGTGGCGATGCTGTTTGCATAGTGAGCCAGCATTCGAGAAATGGGTGAATTTAGAGAAAGTTCCCTCTCGCCCAACCTCGGGTCTAAAACGGATGGCTCTGGCACAAATTTGACGGACTCTGCTTTGCTACAGGGATGTGGAATCTTCTTCGTCATCGTCGTCTTCCGTGAGGACCGAAATCGTTCCAGAACCTGAAGTTCGCCATGGTGCGTCGTTGAAATAGTCCACCGAAACCGGGTGCCAAACCCTGGGCAGACGATGCCTTTCTGGGCACACTTTTTACACGATGGTACAGCTCGATCGCAGCGTATGCGCCTTCGGTTACACGTGTGACAATCTATGAAATTCTTAATTGCTGGTTGCGCGAGTTATTCCAGCCGCCTTACCTCTGATTGCTGGAGGCATCAAAAGTTCTTCGCTCCACCACACGCAGAGAAGAGATTGCTTCAGTCGGATTTCCTCAGTCTTCCACCTGCGAGCCGGAGAGAGATGGGAGGTATGGGTGAATAAGTGGGTGGCGAAATGGATTTTCGTACGTGCCGAGGCTCTATCTGCAGTCTTGGTCGCTGGGTAATTTTGTTTCGAAAAGCCTCGAGGCGTGAGGAACCATCACGTGGCGTTAACGGGTTGTGGTTGTGGCAGCGTGAAGAGAATTGAATTGAATTGACCAACTACAAGAGGGGCTGGCCGCTATATATACGTAAGACATATTACTCGTAAGCAAATGTAGCAGTCGGAAACAAGTATCTCCGACCCGTCACGCTAGAGTCACGGAACTATAGGACTACAGTCGACCAATGCGCCATATACGCATATCTATTTCCTTCCTTCAACACCAGTGCTCCTGGTCACTGTTAGGCACAGAAGGGTTTCTCTGTATGGTGGCAGGCTCCTGAGAGCTTTACTCTACAGCTAGATCTATCCTGTCTATCGAAAAGTCGGGGATTTGTTACAACTCAAAAATATCCTTGAGCGTTCCTGCCAGGGTTTCAAGACCTTTCACCACGTCCGTCTCATCCTCAGACGCAAACGTCAGGCGAAAATGGACATTCAAGTCCTGCCAACCTCGACGATGTCCTGTGGACAGCTCTGTGGACGACTGCTCTTCTGTCTTCGCCCGCGCAGACCGAGGCAACGCTGGAACTTCAAAGAAGCTCCCTTTAGAGCATAGTACGCCTCTTTCTAGCGCATTGCTGTAGATTTCATCCTCTATCTCAAGTCGGATTGTTTCTATCGATTTCGTAGTCTGAAATTTGTCATTGAGTCTGGGATACTGGGCGCAGCTGATCTTAAGCCAGATGAACATGCCCGCCTGGATTGTGCTCCAGCTGCAAACTGTACCCAGCGGCCCCGTTCCAAGGAGTTTCCGACATGCGTGTAGGGTCCCATTGGCTTTGTGCTGATAATGTTGTGCAAGGCTCTGAAGCCATTCTTCAAAGCCACCATGGCCCCATGTTTCTGAAAGGAGCTTAAAGGTGACAAGTTGACTCAAGCCGCTCGGGTGGACCACTCCCAGGTCATGGGAGGCCTGGTACGCCTCGACTACGGTTTTCGGTGCCGTTAGCCACCCAAGTCTCAATCCAGGAGCGAGTATCTTGGAGGTTGAGTCGAGACGTATCACTCGCCCAGTCCTACAGAGAGCCAGGTACGATGGGATTATGGTCGAAAAGTATGAGTCGTCTGACTTGGGAAACTGAAGGTAGTAGTAAGGGTCGTCTTCAAGAACTAGGAGGTCGTGGGCTTCTGCGACCTTCAGTATAGCCAGTCGGCGCTCGAGTGGTTGAGTGATACCTGTCGGATTCTGTCCTGTGGGAATTGTATATAGAATTCTGGGCTTTGGCCTTCCTGGATAGTCTACAGCCCACGATGACAGTGTTCGTTCCAGGGAACTCGGACATGGTCCACAATTATCCATCTGTGTTGGTATTAAAGAAATGCCAAGCGGCCTCGCCACCTCGATGGCACCGGAGTAAGTGTATTCTTCGACCAGTATAGAATCTCCTGGGTTAGCAAAGTTTCGGAGTGTAATTTCCAAAGCGGAAGTGTTCCCAACAGTCAGGCAAACTTCCCAGTCCGAGTACGGTGGAGAATGCACAAGAGAGATGTGAGTCGTCAGATATTGAATCAGCTGTTCATGGCCCAGGGAATAGCCGTACGACAGAGCAATGGCGATATCAATTGCAGCAGCTGGTTCATTCCTTGCCACACTCGCTGTCCTCGTCTGAAACCCAGTGGGACAGCTCTTTGCCGTGACTCCTGCTTCCAGTGCAGCGCCGAGTTGAGGGTCGGTGAAGGTGAAGTCCATGGCATGAAAAGGGTAGGTATCTGGGGACGGACGCCCAGTGCTAAGGCTTATTATATTCAGCGGAAGCCCTGCTGAGCCCGCTTTAAGTGACGACGGCTGCCGCAGACGCGCTTCGTGGCTGAAAAAGTTGTAAATCTCAACACTTGCGCGAGGCTTATTCAGCATTTCAGGCGATTTGAACTGGTCAGCGCTGGTCACCGGTGCCAGACTCTTTTGAAGCATGCCAACATCCCGATATAGAGTTCTGGGCTGTACCTTTTGGTGAGTATCACCTTCATGGTGACGAGAAATAGGGATGCTCATGGCTGACTTGTGACGTTCCCTTGTGACTGAGTCTAGTGGAAACTGAGGATGTGAATGGGTTCCAGACAGAATGAGAGCAAACAGGCTTATTCTTATCAGATGTATCGCCTGCACTAACCTGTGGGTGCTCCCGGAACCTTTGCTCAGGGAAATGCTTTTGCGGAGTTCATAGGGCGAGGACAGTGACTATTAGCGTGGGCATTTCTAACTGTACACTCAACGTACTGTTCCACATGTTAGCGGACACAAAGTGGTCACAATGCAGAGTTAGGACTCATTTGGGAAAGATTGGGAGATTCATCCAGACCCGAAATGTCTTCAGAGGCGTAACATGGTACTGTAATGACTCCTGCAACCGCCATTAATAAACTTTATGTCACTAACAAGCATCGGCGTATAGCCGGGAACCCATTTTCTTTTCCCTTTAGGGAAAAATTTCGGAGAAGGTCTTGGCAACGATTAGGAAATAATGCTCGGCCTTGATATCATGACATGTTGCTTGTTCTACTTGAAGTATAATTCTGGCCGATATTCCGCACGTATATCCAGAAATGCTTTAGAGGCGGATCCCCGAATGTCGCAAATATGATGAGATTTATCAGGATTCGACTCTCTTGGAGTGGACATCACCAAAGGAGCGGTTATAAGGACGCATTTCTCTTCTTCCAAAAGCGGCTCTTAAAATCTCTTCTTTGAGCCAATCATAACGGTTAGCTGTTATTGGGCGCCAAAGAACTTATGGCGGTCATCGCAATCCTATTCATGCACCACTAGGCTGTAACTTGAAGATGTCAGCTCTAAACTCGAGAAAGACGGTCACACCGGTGGGAGTATCTACCTATAAGAGTGGGACGAACGGGGAGCACGGTCTCCCCAGCAGAGTCCCTAACTCCGAAGGCATCAAAACCTTTAATACGACGCTCGAAGTGAATGGAAAATTTTGGCTAGAAGTGTTATGAATTGTGGCAGTGAAAGCATGTATTCTTCTCATTACTTTACTTCTTAAGGAAGTAGAAGTAAATATATATTAAAGTGATATATTAAAAGCTTTATTACGATTTTCAAGCACGCGGAATAATTGTAGAAGACCTTTATAAATGTCCTAATAGTCAGCTAAGCCTCATAGCATAACAACACTAGTAACTGTCATAGGAAATGAGTTTAAGTTCGGCAGGCTATGCTATGTAGCTCCTCTGATTCAGTTATATGATCTGTATAACTTCGTAGTCCAGCAAGGCTTAATGTGTTAGGAATGGCCTGTAGAATAGGCAAGTAATAACACCACAAAAATAGGTCTTCCTATCTAGGTAAGAACTCCAAGCATAAGGAAGAGAAGTTCCTTATGCGGGAAGCCTACGGTAAAGGTGCGGTTTACCTAAGTTCTCTTGGCGGAGCGTGCTTGGTAAGTACGCTTGGTGTGGAGTTGGAAGTGTCGTCTGGTCTCTATTCTGTCTACTCGTGACATAAAGATTTGGTGAAGCATAGATTACTGTTATTAGACTTAGCAGAATGCTTGTTAATAGGTATTAGTGAACTCTACTTTATTGAGCTATCATCTAGATAGCGAATCTTTGCTACTGCCAGAAGGAAGTCTATACTCGGTGTACTTTATCGTGTAGGCTCTGGAAGTCTTTCTGTATTTCTGGGTTCTTCTTGTGCAATCTACTTGGTCGACCATGGGATGACGTCAGGTGTGCCTCGAGGCATATACGACTTAAGAACCTCTGGGACTATAATTCCCGCCTCACTCTGGTAGTTTTCCAGCAAGCAACATAGCGTCCTCTCGGTAGCAGACAAAGTGCCGTTTAGGGCGTGAACATACATCTTCCGCTGGCTGGGGCCTCCTTTGAAATCCTTTGGCCGGTACCGTACATTCAGCTCTCGGGTTTGGTAGTCTGTGCAATTGGTACAAGATACAAGTTCCTTATATTCGGATTGGTGAGGAAACCATCCTTCCAGGTCATATTTCTTTGCAGCGGCATTGTTGAGGGCACCAGAGACGATTTCGACGACCCGGTAGGGCAGACATAGAGACTGATAGAATTCTTCAGCGTTCGCTCTCATATCTTCGAGATATTTCCATGAGTCTTCGGGCTTTGTCACGACGAACTGCTCGATCTGTACACTCATTAGTCCTGCCATCAACAAAGGACGTGATACAAGTTACCTTTTCGAATTGGTGAACGCGAAACAAGCCCCAGGCGTCTCGTCCATGCGATCCAGCCTCCTTCCGGAAGCAAGAGCTAAATCCTGCCAGCCTCTGAGGAAGTTCCTCGTCTGTCAGCCACTCATCTGCATACATAGCAGATAGAGCTTGCTCGCTGGTTGCAATAAGGTATTTATTGTCTGTTTCGGTGCCTTCTTCGCCAATTTTGTATAGAGACTCGTCGAATTCGTCTAGTTGTGCTGTCTTTGCCATGTACTCTCCCTTGATGAAGAATGGAGTTTGAATCGGCTCAAAACCCTTAGATTCCAAGAAGTCAAGTCCGTAATTAATCAACGCCTGGTTGAGCCGAACACCCCATTTACGTAGGAAATACCCTCTGTGTCCCACGACTTTTGCTCCTGTTCGTTATGTCAGTTCTTGCAACTTTAGCGCCCAGAAGTAAAGCAAATTATTCGTACCTTGAGCAAAATCCGCAAAGGGCCATGCTTTGGTCATGATCTCATGGTGGCTCAGCGGTGCGTTGAGGTTGGGTTTGAAACCCGCGGGTGACCATTCCACAATAATCGGGTTGAAAGTCTGCAAGTACCATCCACGGATGAGTATGTGAAGCTCAGGATTGAGTAAGAACGAACCTCTTCGTTGTGAATTGGCACAGTGGCATGTAGATAGTTCGGAAGCATCTTGCACATCTTGTCTCGGAGACGCTCTTTCAGCGTCGCCTGTACTTCTAGTTCCTTGTTCTCCCCGTCCAGCGAAGCTTTCTTGGACTCTTGACATATCGTATCTTGACCCTGTCTCTTTAAGTGCCCAATTTCTTTTTGAATCGTGTTCAGTTGAGTTCGCACTTTCTGCACTTCGTAACGAGCGCTGTATGCATTCTGCCAGAGCACGATAACGTCGTCGACTAACTTTTCGTCCATGTACCGCTTCCGCAGACAATCTCGAGCTGCTTGCGGGTTTCCGCCACGTTCTACTATGAGGTCCAGAACTTCAATCATCTTAATTGCTCTGAGTAACAAGTATAAACTTCTGAAAAGGTCCGCTCGCAGTCTCCAGAAGTTCCCGGAGAACAAAGGACTTTACAGTGTTATAGCACCGGCTTCCCCGTGATTAAATAGAAAGACTGGAATTTATCAAGCCTCAAATCAATAGATGGAACGAGTTGTTGTCTCAAGAGTGAGGAAATCAAATCATAGTGTCCCCAGAGCTGACAGTTTCAGAGTCTAGAGCGGTGGATTGACGTGACCTGACCAGATGGCAATCTATTCTAATTATGCCGAAATGCCGATACAGTATGGACTCTAGGGACAAGGAGTATCTTTTTCCCTGCATAAGGACGGAGATTCCATGGAGGAGCATTGACTGAGATCACGGCGGTTTGGGACTAGAGCTTTCCTGATATTTACGTTTCACTGCTTCTGGAATTAACCTCTGTATTGGAGATATGACTGTACACGTTATTCCTGCGCCTTCTCTGATTTCAATCCATTTAGAACCTTGTCAACAGCCGCGGCGACAGCAAGAAGATGCTCATCTTCGAATTGTTTGCCGACTAACTGCAGCGATATCGGGGCGTTATGCCACAGTTCTGGATCATCTAATTCTGCATGTTAAACGCTTAATTCAACACAATGCGGGTTTGTCGAAACTTACATAGCTCGTAGTGCTCCTTGTCAATCTCATTTACCGGATCGTAGTTCATATCTTTGGTGTCACCAGTTTTGTCGACGAATCCAACAGGGATGATAACTCCAGGATAGTCAAGCAAACTCCATTGTGTAGCATATCCCCACCACCTGACGGAATCGTTAGCTGACACCAGTCGTCCTGAGATCATAACAACTCACGTTAAAAAGTCATGGAGATAGCTTGCGCAAGGATTGATCGGACACAGCAACGCATCAATGGGTCTGCCCGAAGATGTTAACTTGGCCGTGGCGTCCCAATGCTTGAGATATTCTTTCCTGTAGTCGTCCTGGGCGGCAAACAGCTAAGAGGCTCGATTAGAAGTTTGATCTGAGGGCGCTAGGAGGAGACTCACAGCGTAGAGCTCACTTGCGGACTGTTCACGCAGAGCTGGGTTGGCACTGAGTTTCGCCGCTGCCTTGGGCCATGGCTCACCGGTCCTATCGAGAAGTGCTTTCATCTCCTTACCTCCAGTGGCATAGTAGAGAGGGTAGGCGATGTCCCAGGCTCGTTGATGTTGATATGGTTCAAATTCCACAACTTCGTGTCCCTGCTCCTTTAGTTTTCTCGCGGCCGTGTCTAGTGCTCTCAAGATGGGCGGATGAGGCATAACAACATGGTCAAATTTGAGTAGGCCGATAGTTAATCTTTGAGGAATTGCTGGGCGTGCTATCCATTCCTTCTGAACGACCTGCGGGTCCTGGGTCCATGGTTTTGCCGCCGTGGCAATCTGACAAATCAACTCAGTATCTCGGATTGAATGACACATGGGCCCTATCGCTGCTTGAATAGCTCTTCCACCAGACACGTTCGAGGTGATGCCGTCATAACTTATGCGGCGAGTCGACGGGCGAATCCCATATAGACCATTGAATGCACAGGGCACTCGGATGGACCCTGCAATATCCGTCCCAATGCCCAGCGGTGAGCCATACATGCCTACGAGGGCCCCCTCTCCGCCCGAGCTTCCTCCCGATACTAATGCTCGGTTGAAACCATTCATGGTTCGTCCCCAGAGCTGGCTAATCGTTTCGATAGCCATTCCAGTCACCGGCATCGTGGTTTTGACAAAGACGATAGCTCCTGCATCTTTCAGGGCCTTGACAAGAACTGCATCTTCATCTGGAATGTTATTAGCCCAACAACAGTATCCGAGCGTCGACCGAAGTCCCGCGACATTGACATGATCTTTGATGCTGATTGGGAGGCCGTGTAGGGGACCTCTTAGTTTGCCAGTGCTTTTGAACGATTGATCGAGCTCTCTGGATAATTGGAGTGCCTCATTGAAACAGATTTCGGTGAGACAGTTCACCTATGAAGCTTTAAATTATCGTGGCCATTGACTGAGACTAGAACCCGCCTACCAGCTGCTGAGCGATGGCCGCACGCTTACAGAAAGCCAGGCAGACTTGTTCAGCTGTCCAGCGACCTGTATGGACATTTTGCAAGATGTCGGTACAGTCGCAACGTGTGATTTTCAGCTCTTCTCCCGTCAATATACCACACAGTTCTGGGACGGTCGAGACATCTCTCTTTTGGGTATCAAGCAGATGTTGGGGCAATCTCCAGGCGACGGGAATCTTTGATGCCAGCGCTTTCTGCGCATTCTACACATCAAAACTCAGCCTTCAACTTGTTAATGCTCGTATCTTTGGCTGGGGCTCACATCTGCAATAGATCTCCATTCCGGAATTGGCCCCATGTTCAGAAAATGCACGTTTCTCTACGAGACGATGTTTGAAGTTGAGGTTGCGACATGCGGCGAAAAACCGTTAATTCATACTTCAAATTCTTCATATATGACTTTTGTGTGAATCCGAATTTCGTTACCATAAACCCTTGCAAGTCTCCGCAGGGAAACTTGGGCGGTCTGTGTTGATTCGCTTTCCCCAAGATTATGCCGGAGTGTGTCGACATCCAGATCGTTAGCCCCCATCGGCATTGACGGAACTTCGGTGTTTCGGCAATCCGGTATTTCGGCGACAGCGATGTTTTTAATTTCTTCCGCTTCCTCACGGAAATCCCACTCACTGCCTCTTCATCATGGTACCGAGACACCGGGCGATGGTCGGTACGCTTCCAGCAAGGTGCAGCGAAAGCGAGCCCCAAATGACCCTTCCGGTGCTCACGAACACGCCAGGTCGCAGACCAATCAGTGAGTAAGGTTCAGAAACACTTGGGCCATTCTGACGCTGGGCTAGGAAGAGCTTGTGCGGACTGCCACGCTCGAAAGGTCAAATGCGATGGGGCAACAAGGGGATTTCCATGCAGTAATTGTAGATCGGCTCATGTCGACTGTTGCATCACGGAACGGCGGAAGCGACGAAAGCTTTCGGACAGTAGTCGCCCGAGTACCCAACAGGGTAGAAGGAGAGATGTCGAGGCTGGGGACATCTCGCCTGGAAGACCTGCCCCGGCCTACAGCTACAGTTTCATCGAGGCAGGGTCAGACGACCAGCATGCTCCTAATACAGCCACCAGTGGCTGGGTTGCTGTCGCAAACCCTGACGTGAACCGCAGTGACCAAGGTGACACTGAGGCTGATCAACCCCCGGTACCGGGCAATGATGAATATGCCGGCGAATCTGAGCTGGCCAGACGGCATCTGACGGACTTCTTCAACCAAGACTTGCAAACCAATCCCATCAAAGCCCGGTCAACCTATGTGGGAAGCGAGCTCTCCAATCTCTACTTTCTCACTCGGCAGAGATCTGCGGAAGAGCATGTCTATCATTATCCCTGCTCGAATGTCTACGTTCCACGTGGATTTAGAAGCTCTCAGACATCAGCTACTCCGAACCTAATCCCCAAAGATGCCTTCGTACTTCCTCCCGGCAACATATCTGCCAAGCTCATCGATGCATACTTTACCCATGTCCATCCAATGTTCCCAGTCATTGACAAGGAGAAGTTTTTGGAACAGTATCAGGCGTCGGACTCGGCACCACCGATCCTTTTGATGCAAGCTATTTGTCTGGTCGGCAGTCACATGAGCACATTCCACAATATTCAAAATCTGAAGGTCGCTTTCTTCCGACGAGCAAAAGCTCTCCTTGATGGCCGTTACGAAGAGGACCGAATGCATACCGTCCAAGCTGCCTTGCTCTTGACATGGTTCTCAGATGGAGGTGATGATATTTGTGCTAATGCATGGTGGTGGATCGGTGTGGCCGCTAGGGTTGCTGTCGGATTGGGGAGTGAGTATTCTCTAACCAATTCTGTCGACGATTATCTGACCAAGTTGCCGAAATAGTGCATCGGGATGTTACACACAGCAAGATGCCTGAAAGCGATAAGCGACTTTGGAAAGTGATATGGTGGTGCCTGGTCCAGTTCGACTGCCTTGTGTCTCTCTCCTTTGGGCGGCCTCTTGCGATCAACCTTGACGACTGTGATGTCCGCCCCCTGCAAGCAAGCGAGTTGGAGCCTTCAATTACTCCTGAGCAAGCCAAGTTCGTGGTGCACCATGCGAAACTGTGCGAGACCATCTCAGACCTAATCCACTCATACTTCACCATCAAGGCTCGCAAGTCGGGCTCCAGCAGGAAGGACGCTCTTGAAGTCGTCGACAGTGCTCTAGCTAAGTGGGCCGCCGAACTACCGCCAGCTTTCCGCGAACAAACCACCCACGGAATAGAGACACGCCCTTTCCCATTATTGCTCCATCTCACATACAACACCGTCCTCCTTCAGTTTCATCGACAGTCCTTGGTCTCTGCATCCGATAGTGGTATTGCCATGGAGTTCAGCAGTGACGAAGAAATCTGTGCCGATGCTGCTTCGAATATTGTTCGCATATTCCAACAACTACGTGAGCAGTCCGTTCTTCAATATTGTTGTTTCTGGACTTCGAGCAGCCTTTTTGCGGCAATGCTTCATGTGAGTGGAGAGCTCAAGTGCTCGAACCGGATCCTCAATCTACGCAGTAAGGAGAAGTACGAGTCGGCCCTAAAGTCTCTGAGCAAGCTCGCGGGGCATTGGATTTCCGCCTCCTCGGTACTCCGGCTCTTCCAATCTTCCAAGTCGGGCCATCTGTTCAACAAAGCTAGTCATGTCCAACCAACATCTGTGACATCTCCGCCGAGGCGACAAAGAATCGATGACGATCGTTCTAATTCAGAGATGGCATCACCTGTCGAACTGAGGGGCCTAAACTCTCAACCCTATCCAGATCAAGCACGCGTGCCGTTGCAGGAAATGGATTGGGTTCAGCCGGCATCGTTTTCCGAAGTGCAGGACTTTAACAATAGCAACATGCACATCGAACTGAATCGATGGCAAAATAATATGGACGACTGGCAATCTATCTATTGGAGCGATCCGCTGTCTATGATTACTCTGGGTGATAATTCTGGCATCTTCGATTTCTAAATTCTCCGTGAGTGCGTACAGAGTTGCATGAAGTCTCATCCGAAGTCTAGGTAGAAGATATCAAGAGCTACGCAAGGTCCCCACCCGTAGCCAAACCAGCACCTGGCTTGACGGCCGCAATCGCCTCTATTTCAAACTTCAACTTGGGGTTTCCAAGTCTAGCCACTCCAATGAGCGCTGTTCCTGGCCTGTGCCCATTGAGAAATTTCAACAAGGCTTTGATGTGGACTGGTCGGATGGAAACATCTACTTGCGGTTAACTAAGCCGCCGGCAGTGCATATAGTTCACCCACCGTAGTCGACAATGTAATAAGTGAGCCTGCAGTTTCCCTCTAGTCAGCATATCTCCGAAAACTTGCCACAGCTATGGCTAGAAGCAGGCAAACAAAGAATGCCCTAGCTCACTTGATAATGTCGGAGGGTCTAGCTCCTGCCTCGGCGAGAACACGACCCAAATTGTCGACGGCAGCAGAAACCTGTCTCTCGTACGACTCCGGGATAGTGCCTTGTTCATCCGACGTCCCGATCTGCCCAGCAGTGACTATAATGTCGTAACCAGCAGGGATGACGAGGCCATGAGAAAAAGGTCCAGAGGGTGCCACGCTCGAAGGGTTCAGCATGGTGAGGGAGTCCATGGTGGTTCGAATAGTCAGGAACAGAACCAAGGAGAAGTATACTAGCTGCTCAACCAAAGTGTTTGATAGCCTGGGCACCAAGTACATCGTCAAAACAACATTTGATCCGGCTCGCTTCTTATTAGCTTTTGCGCAATGCTCCTACTGGCCGTTGATAATGTCATCGACGTTTTTGCTTCTCAATCGAGATAACGGAGGCTCACTCTCGACCCACCGAAATACCGAACCGCCGGAAGTTACGCGCAATCTCCACTGGAAGCTAGAATCACCAAGCAGCGGCGATAACGACATGTGCACTATCTTGCCTCCAATCTCTCCACCCTTAACCCTCGCCAAAACCTGGAGAGCATGGAGGCATGGAACTTGCATTAGCCCCTATGGCCGATGCGGCCTGTCTAGATACACCCTCACCACCGTCGAGCAAGATATAAGGCGTTCATCGAGACTCTGCTACGGCAAGATTCACACCGTTCCTCCTGACCTGAACTAGGCCCTGAGGCAATAACATTGGCCTGATTTGCAGACCAACTTCTTGATATTTACTTCTCACGATGGCTATCCACGGCCACGAGGACGATGTTGCGGCGACGCCAACCATCCAGACCGATGCAAAGACCGATGCAAAAATCGTTTCCCCTCAGGAAGAGAGCATTCACGCCTCTGAACAATCACAAGGCGTTCTCTATATGCACCGTGGCCTGGATCCGGAACTTGCTGCTGCCATCGCACAGATCTCACCAGAAAGACGCGCTGAGCTATCCAAGCGGGTCAAATTGAAGCTTGACACCATCATGTTTCCCACCCTGCTGCTCTTCTATATTCTCAACTACCTGGTGAGTTTATTCTGATCTTCCTCATGGCGTCTTCGATGTGACTTGTTCTTGGATCACCTGAGGTCACTAACACAAATTCGCCTTAAAGGACCGTAATGCACTGGGATTCGTCAAGCTCGCTGGCATTCAGGAAGACTTGAATTTAAGCAGTACCCAATTGTGAGGGGCACTTCCCCAACGTGTTTCTGAAAATGTCTTAAGTTGACTCGTGCAGTGCTACTTGTCTCTCAATCCTCTACGTTGGATACTGTTTGGTAAGCGTCGGCTCTCGTCGGCCCCAGATAACAGCAAGCTAACAATCGTAACAGTTTCAAGTACCTTCGAATTTGATGCTGTCCAAATCGAAGCCTTCACTGTATCTGGTGAGTTACCAGCCTCACAAATTGGACAAGATGAGAACTGACACCCAGGGTAGCCTTTCTGGTTGTTCATCTGGGGAATCGTGTCCGGTTGCACCGCTGCCGTGCAGAGCTACTCAGGTTTGGTTACAGTTCGATTTGTTCTCGGTATCGTCGAAGCGCCTTTCTTTCCCGGCGCCGTCTTCCTTGTGAGTGCTTCCAAAAATCTCGTCAGATCATTAACAGAATCTCAATTCTGTACTCAACCCATCAGTTGGTACGCAGCTAACCGTATCATGCTAGATCTCCTCCTGGTATACCAGGAAAGAGATGGCTATGAGATGCGCCTTGCTCTTCGGTGGAAACATGCTCAGCAACGGTGAGTAGCTAGCATTGTGAGCTGAAACGACACAAATACTTGCTCACACATATTCCAGCCTTCGGAAGTTTGATCGCTTTGGGCGTGACTCAAGGATTGGCCGACGCCCATGGTCTCGCAGCATGGAGATGGCTATTCATCATCGAAGCCAGCATGACTGTCGGCTTTGCTGTTATCGCGGTATTTATACTTCCAAACTATCCTCACAACACTTGGTGGATCACTGGCGAAGAGCGGATTGTCGCTAAGTGGCGCTTGATCGATGACGTTGGTGAAGCTGATGACTCTCAAACCGACGATGTGAGCATCTGGCAAGGCTTCACACTCGCTGTCAAAGATTGCAAAACTTGGATCCTGGTCTGGAACCACATCTTCCTGACTGTCGGTGCTGGTATCGTGGTCTTTTACCCCTCCGTTGTAGGTACTCTGGGGTTCTCGAGAGGTTAGTACTGTGGTTGCAAACTCCCAATGCCCACCCCTCTGATGAATCTTCGCAGAAATTACCTACGCTCTTATCGTTCCACCATATATGCTGGGTTTTGCAACCAGTGTCTACGGTTGTCATCACGCAGACAAGAAAAAAGAGAGAACGTGGCACATGATCGGCTCGCTTTCTGTGACTTTGGTCGGACTCATCATTCTAGCAAGCACTCTTAATACCGGGGCCAGATACTTCTCCTTGTTCCTTGTCACCTGCTTCGTCTACATCGCATTTGATTGCAACCTGGCTTGGTAGGTTTGTCGTTCGCAGGTTTTCGATTTGAATTACTGTGGCCCGTAATTATCACCGCTGACCGGACCACAGGATCTCCAATTGCATCCCTCGACCTGCACCCAAGCGAGCCGCCGCCATTGCCTTGGTCAATATGCTCTCCCAGCTAGGGTAAGTTCCAGCTACTGACGCGGATGTTGGCTCACATCTATGGGATTGATGATATGACTAACAGATTATAAGAAATATCATCGCCGGCTACCTTTATCCCGACGATCAGGCACCTCGCTACTGGATGGCATGCACAGTCGAGGCTATTGCGATTGTCTGCGCAATCGTTACTACTTTCGTCTTCCGGACGATATTGAAGAGGGAGAACATGAAGCTCGATCAAAAGGCCATGGCAGAAGGTGGCGAGGCACAAATTACCGAGGGCACGCTTGAGAAATTCAGATATATCTACTGAAAGTGTGGTCAGGGCATGTCTCAGGAGTCAGGCGATTCGGAGACAGAGGAAGCTGGCGGGAGGAGTCACTGTTGAGCTATCCGTGTTACTGCGTAAAACTCGTTCAGGAAAAGTCAACAGTGATTACCTACACGTATTTGTTACATAGATTCTGGGCATATGTGATGGAAAATTTTCGCAGAGAAGAATGGAGAGAATGGAACATGATTGAAACCAAGTGCCGACCTTTTCTGTGTCGTCCAGCTTGCTCTGCCATGCCCTTCCAGACCCATGTTGTTTCTCTGAAGAGATGGTCTTAGACAGACCGATCCCCCTTTGTAAGGCCAGTGATGAAATATGTAGAATGTCAAAACTTTGCCTTGCCCAGTCATCGCGGTGTAATCTGCTGGATGGGCTGTTGGTGACAACCCCACAATGTTGCTCGCTGTAACGCCGAAATGCCGTGCCATCAGGCCTTCTACTGCAAAAGTCCCACTTTCAAAGTTCTCCTGGCCTAGGCTCAGTCGATTTTGATCGTCGAAACGGTGTCTCGGTCCTTTGATGTCTTCACCGATTTACGGACCCGAAGAGTATCTGGCGTGACATTGTTGAAATTCTCAAGAGTCAGGATACGGAGTTTGCGAGTGGGCTCAATCTATCCTTCTTGCGATTTTGTAACCTTGTGTGACACGATTGGCTCGGCAATGAGCCTGTGGATTTGCGGTTTTGGCTGGCCCTGCGCTGTATATTAATTCTTTCGTACCCATGCAGAAGTTTTCAAGGTTATCTGTCATCTTCCGACAGAAAGTGCGACTCGAACGGAGACGGCTGGCTTCCTTCTTACAGCTTTTGAACAAACAGCAGCCTTTTGCCTGATACCTGCTCCTTCTCAGACCCAGAGAAGCAATCAATCGATAATCTTACTTACAAAACTTAAAACCACAGAAGGCGAACGACGCTTGCAAGCATGGGCTGGAGAAAATCTGGGCTCAAGTCGCTCAAACCAACGGCAATCGCCAGCACAGGGCCTTTCGCTCACGTCACCCATACCGACGGACCTGCCCGAATCGTTTTCACCTCAGGCATGGTAGGACAATATGCCGATGGTAGCATCTCGTCGTCTTATACGGAGCAAATCAAACAGAGCTTGGTGAATATTTTACATTGCTTAGCAGCTTCAGGGGCTGGGGTCAAAGATATCTTGTCCCTCCGCTACTACATCGTTAACTATGACCCGAAAGACAGGCCCCATGCTGGTCTTCTTGTCGAGTGGCTGCAAGGTCATCGCCCCAGCACCACGCTAGTTCCCGTCCCCTACCTCGCCAACCCCAAATTTCTCTTTGAAATCGAAGCCGTGGCCAGTGTCCGGGACCCTAGTCTTGCGACCCCGATTCCCGCTCCTCAACCAGGGAGAACTGACTCATTTGATGTCGTTGTCGTGGGCGCAGGGCTGAGCGGGCTACAGGCGGCATACGACCTTCAGAAGGCCGGCTTGACGACGATCGTATTGGAGGCACGAGATCGAGTCGGCGGGAAAACTTGGACGGTACCCCTTGCCGGTGGGAAGGGTGCCATCGATCTGGGGGGCGCCTGGATTAACGACACGAATCAGTCCAAGATGTGGGAGCTTGGGCAGAGGTTTGGCATGGAGTATATTGTCCAGAC